TAGAAGGAACATGCAAGATTGGGAGATTGGGGAGCTCCAAGATTTATTGACACTACTATATGGGCAAGACAGGCCTCAACCATCTTGTGATTCTTGGAGATTGGGTTTGCGTGGCGATGGTCTGTTCACTGTAAAGTCCTTTTACCAGAGTATGTTGGTGAGAGAGGAGGCCTTTTTTCCATACTACTCGATCTGGATTCCTAAGGCGCCCACGAAGGTGTGCTTTTTTGCATGGCTAGCGGTGAGGGGAGTGATTTTGACTGTTGAGAATCTGTGAAAGAGGGGAATTGCACTTGTTAGTTGGTGCTATATGTATAAAAGCTCAGGGGAAGAAGTTGATCATCTTTTGTTGCATTGCCCTGTGTCCTCCGCCTTGTGGAGGGCGATCCTGAACCTTTTTGGTGTTCAATGGGTGATGCGAAGCACTATAAAGGAAATGTTATATAGCTGGGCCGGTTTTCGTAGAAGAAGAAAGCAAAAGACGTGGAAGTTCGCTCCGTTAGCTCTCATGTGGATAGTTTGAGGGGAGAGAAATAGGAGAGCTTTTGAGAGGATTGAGTCTCCTTTTTCACATCTTAAGAACAGTCTTTTATCTTTGATTGCTTTTTGGTGCACTCATATAACCCCTATTTGTATAGTAGATTGTGCGTCTTTTGTAGAGAATCATGTTTTGATGTAAATTCTCTACTTTTTGGTATACTTCTTGTATACGGGAGTTCTCTCCCTTTTGATTAATACAATTTACCTTATCAAAAAAAAAAGTTCCCCTTCAGAATTTTCTCGGTTGATATAGCATCTATCACTGCACACCAGTCAAAGAAACTTTCTTTCGATACTTGGCGCTCGAAACTTTTTTGTGTAGCTCCCTCTTAGCCCCTTTTCTGGTAATTCTGAAATAAGATTTAGTTGTAAAAGATTTTGCCCCCACCTCCTCCATATCTTCTTATCTCCGTCCTCATTCCCTGTATCGTAGTTATATTCTCTATAAAAGAAATCATTCCCCATTTTATAGCTATATTTTGTATAAAAGAAATCATTCCACATTTTATAGTTATATTTTTGTAAAAGAAAATCTCTACTTCGTGCCATTCCTAATCTTGAATAGCCTTACTAAAACTTTCATCTCATATGACCCCATTATCGTCTCGTCTCATGTAATCAGCTATCATAGCATTTCTCTGTTTAACTTCTGAATATTTGTGGGATATGGATTCTCCATGCATATCCCCCTCGCACCATACGTTCTCCAAAACCTTACCCTCAAGCCATTACCCACCCTTTTATGATCCCTTCCACAGACTCACTCCATAAATATTTACTCCCTTATCAGAAATCATCAATTATAAATAGTGCCATAGTAGTATATGTTGACTTCTCAGTAAAGCATTCTCCTCTTAAGTGTATCGCCACCGTTCCAACATTCCAGTGTTAAAAGTGATTCCTAATCCCTTTTCTCACATGGGGATGTAATCTTTTTCCACTCTACTACGTGATATTTCTTTTCTCCCTCCTTTCCTCCCATAGAAAATATCTCATCCTCCTACTTCTTTGCAACACCTATAGGAATACGAAATAAGGATATAAAATAGGTCGGTATGTTGGAGAGGTTCGGCTTTAATAATGTTATCTTTCTTCCTCCGATATTTTCTTTTCCATTCACTGCATCTTTTCTCCAACTTCCCAACAACCGGCTGCCAGAATTCTTTATTTTTGTATTTATACTCTCGAGGCAAGCTTTACACGATGAGTAGTGCACTACATTCCAATATGGTTGTTTTGTGCTCCTCCTACCGTATACTTTATATAACAATTGTGTTTGGATTGAATGTTTCCCAAAAATAGATCACTATTAGCAACCTTTTGTTTTTAGAATTGTGAGAATGCACGGGAGAAAAATCTATTTTTTAATAATGATATTTTGCTCCTACTATATATGGGGACTAGAACATATTCTACTCTTATTACATATGGGACTAGGACTATTTACACATACTATCTAACACTCCCCCTCAAACCGACACATACAAACCATACGTACCGAGCTTGTTACATATGTAACTAATGCGAGATGAAAATATCTGCAAGTTGATCATTCGACATAAAGGCCACTAGACTCCCCCTGAGCAACAAATCCAGGTGGTTGCTGATAAACATAAGTTGACCGAAAAGTCGCCAGAAAAATTTGAAAATAGTGAGACTAATCCGAATTCCACACTGCATAATAGGTTCTAAAACACCACTACAAAACAGTAACTTTTCTAGAAATTACTGTTCATGCCAAAACTCACTGTTCACGGGGAAAAAGTGCACTGTTCATGTCTGAAAAAATAAAAATCGTCAGAATTTGATGTAATTTATATGGGTAGGCTCGAACCGCAAGACGAGTAAGTTGGCCTAAAGAAATTGTCAAAAAGTGGTCGGAATGGCTCAAACGCGCAGGAAAAGTTACTATAGCTCGCCGGAACCCTACTTCTGGCAGCGCGTGGAGGCGTGAAGGACTTTCTGCCGGGGCGATTGACTGGGGTAGTGTTGGCTTTCGCACGACAGTACCAATAAGAGATAACACAAATCAATCTTGAGTCGTCAACCGGAAATACGCACGGTGACTGACTTTTCTATTTCGATGGGACTGGGGTTTTTGGGGTTTGATTGCATAAGGATTTCTGATCTAATGGTGGTACAAGTATATGCACAGTACCATGTAGCAGTGATGAACCCTGTGAACAAGACGATGTTGCTGGAAAATTGGACCGCAATGAGTTCTTTCTTCTCGGATGTCGCTGGAATGATGTACAACTATAATTTTCTCAGTGAAGCTCGGATTACTCCTATTATTTATGGGACTAGGACTATTTACACATAACTATCTAACAGGAATTATCCATCAAACCTCAACCTTATTAATTCTATATTTCATTATTACCTCAACCTTATTAATTCTATATTTCATTAAATACTATAATAGTTCTCTAAAAAACATGCACTAAATCTAAGTTTGTAGAATAATACAACATAGAAACCAGTAAAAAGTTAATAGTAATTTTACATTTTGGAAAAATTACATGAGATATAAAGAATTGTAGAGAAAATTTCAAACATTATAATAGAAGACATAAAATATGTGAAAAGTGGAAAGGAAAAATAACCTAGAAATAAAGATGGTAGAAATATCAATCAGTTGGTACGTGGTAAAAAGTCAAGCACAATTAAGATGACATGCCGTATTGTTTGCTCCTCTGCTCTAACCTACCTAATCGTTTATGATCCAAGGAAGAGAATATACGGTGCTTTATTTTGGGGAATGGATAGTAAGAGATTGACCTAGAATATGCAGACATTTTTTGATCTCTGTCATTACTCATTAGTTTTGGTTGGTAGCTTGAATGCACTCTTCCTAGCTATTGCAGAAAAATATTGAATATTGCAAGACTTTAGATAGACAATACTTTCTATGGCTATGTAGACACAATATAAGGCCAGAACTTGTAGATCCCCAATAAAACTGCTAGTTTTTTGAAAGACTTCGGGATGATGTGAAGTTATGTATATTTCTATATCACTTTCCTAATGCAGATTTTAACTCATCTTTCGTTCCTTTCTGCTTGTATGAAAAAAGAGAGGGCATCCTTCGTCAGCTGAAAGTGTAACAGTTTCTGCTACAGATGAGGATACCATCACTGACTTGTTGGAACAGCATGACCAATTTGTTGGCTTAATGCAATCTCGTTTGGCCAAATTACAGGTAACTAATAATACAACTGAAGCAAAATGACTTACTAATGGTGTTTTTAGACGTGCTGATTTGTGATGTGAGTGTTAGTACGCTCTTTATGCTATGATTTCTAATCTTTGGTTGTGCTCTACAACTTACAGTTTGGAAAGACGTAAAAAGGTTTTTTATGGAATAATGAGCTTTGGAGGATTAATGGATCTGCATGTAAGGTTAATGGGTCATTGACTTGCAGCACAATCAATCCTGTTTTGAGCACTTCAATGTTCTCAGAATTAGTATAAGTAGAAAAAAGTTCAACTGTAAGCATGCTTGATTTAAAGGCAAAATCTTCTCATGCACTATAACGAGTATTAGAGGTCTCGAACAGACTCTTTGCTATATGTTACACATCATTGGCTATGTCTCCTACAAATTCATTTGGATGTCTTTTTCAGTATTTTACTTGAACGCATGCTTCTAAGTTTTAACCATTCTCTTTCCAAAATAGGTAGATCCTCACTAAATCCCTTTTTCTAGCTAGTTTCGGATTGAGGCATGCTTGATTCATTGCCTGATATGTTCTTCACTTAATCGTTTTATTAACCTGGACTTTGGAATGATAAGAATCCCATTACTGCTGTCTGTGAGGATGATCTTTTCTAGTTTAGAGTGTTGTACTTGTACCTGGCCAACATAGAAATGTTAGCATTGCTTTTCAATGCTTCTTGGTGTGGTGAAAAGTAAGTTTTTACAGATGCCATGGCTTTTAAATGACTGTCAGATCGATTCATATCTGTCTAATATGCTACAAAGTGTGTTAACACAACATACTACCTGTATGGCTAGTGCATCTCTGTCAAATGAGATTCAGAGATATGGACAATCTGGTATGTTAAGGAGAAAGGAGAGACACCAGACTTGATCTGGTGCCCCAATTATGGGATACCATTGGAGGGTTCAGAGAGAATTCTGTTGGCAGCTGATGATGTATGCTATGCTTATCCTGAACACAGGTTCATGAGAAGGTGGCTTTTCCATATTTAGGTCAATAACTCAGTGTAGCATTTGTGGAAGAGAATGTTAAAGGATTGCATTTCAATTTGTTACATTTATAATCCCTTCCACTATTTTACCTGACAAGAAAATGAGATATATACTGACCTAGGGCTTTGGTCTAGTGGTACGAGCGCATCACGGGATATGTGTGCTAGGCCCATGCAAAAGCCTGGTGTTTAAATGGAGAGAGGTAGAGGAGCGAGCTCATTATCCTCCGAGTTTCGAACCGTGCCCCATTGACCTTCGAAGATTTCTCTTGTTTTAATGACGCCTATTTGACAGGATGAACATGTGTCCCTCAGTTTATTGGTGTTTTCTTTTCCTGGGACATGAGTATCTATGTCATAAGACTTAATCCCTTTTTGCACATTATAAGTTGAAATTATGATAATTAATACTTAAAATTTCAAAAGGATGGTCCAATTGGAGAGACGAGAAAAGGATGAAGAGCAGTACCAATCATTTGCTGCCAATTGATTAAGTAGTTCGTTGCCAGTTGGTTATAAAAGTGTGATCTAGGCAATAAAACATTGGTGTCGCGACCCAAAATCCCAACCAAAGGTTTGTGTTGGCGTCTAACCTATTTGCTAAGCAAGCCAACACATTCACAATAAGCAATGAAACAAGAGTAAACGGTTAACAACACAATATCATAAATAAGGGTAAAAGCTCCTATAACAACGTAGTAAGTCTAATACCTTCCAATACTGGTGTCAATAAGTACATGAGCTTCTAAGAGTACTAAATACAAAGTCTGAAATGAAGTACAACACTGTCTGTGATTCAAGATCAAGAAGGCCAAAAATCCAAGAAATTGAAGAAGTCCAAGAATCAATTCAAGATTAGTATTTCTTTTCCTTCAAGATTAGGATTTCTTTTCTTTAAAGATTAGGATTTCTTAACTCTTGTTTTAGTAGGATTATATTTATAGTTCTAGTCAAATTAGGATTGTTAGTTGGTAGTCCATTCCTACCAGAATTCTTTTTCCTATTTTAGTTAGGATAGGTTTTCTTAGCCTTATTTTTATTCTAGCTTAATTAGGATTAGGTTTCCTTAACCTCATCAATTTTACTCATTGAAAAACCTATTTAAAGGGCTCAATATGCTGAAAATAAACATTGGTGATTGATTTTACTAAGTTTTTGCTTCAATAACGTGATTTCTCTTTTATTTGATTCTTCTTCCTTTATTCAACGCTTCTTGCAATTTTGTGGGATTGAGGAAGGAGCGGGTAAGGTTCGTTTCATTTTACATTCTTCTGACGTGAGTTTGAAGAACGCTTTGACTTTTGTGAAAAACTTTAGCGGGATGCTTTTGTTTTTCTCTGTTATTTGGGCTTGAGAGGTGTAAAACCTTGAAAGTATATCAGTCTGACACAAGTAAACAATAGAAATGATAATAAGGGTGACTCCATGGTCTGCGAACAGGTATGCAACACTACCTCGAGTCTCGAAGATGTCCAAGCTAGTCATCCCTCTTAACATCGCTAGGACCAACGTTTGAACTTGCACAAGAAGTGTAAAAGTGTAGTATGAGTACAACCGACCCAATATACTCAGTAAGTATTGAGTCTAGCCTCGAGCAGGCAATAACGATGCTATGACAAGACACTTACCATATAAATCTGTATAGTTAATAAGCAAGAGAAGTAGCAAGAGAAATAATAATAATAACGACAAAAATAAAGGCGGGAAATGGTAAAAAGGATCAAATAAAGAAAATAGAAACCACGTTTCTCAACTTAAAGCACCCAAATCCTTCTCAACAGCTCAAACCCAAGAGGGTAAAACAATATCGGGAACAATATAGCCCAAATCCACTAAGGAAGTCAATGTCATAAGTTAAACACCATAATTCATACCATATGCGTTGGGGCGCACAACCCAATCCAACACAAAAGCTGTTGCAGCGGCAACCCGATCCCATGGCCATATTGATGCGGCGAGTAACCCGGTCCTATCATAACAATGTTGCGGTGAGCATGGCATATTACAGAAACATCCAACAAACAACCAAACATGGCAAGAGTCATATTATGATATCAAAGAGAATGGATAAACATAATCATTACGGAAAAGATGAACATGAACAAGGTGTGCTAGGCAATCCAATACCCAAGAGCTAATCTCTCTTGTATATCTCAACAAGAACTCAAACAAGGTCATTAACACTTGAACAATCAAGTAGTCACATAATCCAACATAACATAAAGGAATAAGGCATGAAATAAGTAAGGACATGAATAAAACTTGCTTTAACCCATGATAACACATATACACTCGTCACCTTGCATATACCCTGCCCTAACACATTTATCACATAGCAAGTAAAGCATTTACAACCTAATTCCCTCACGTTAAGGTTAACCACCGTATTTACCTCCTTCCCTCTAGTACAAGCCTCCAAACCACTCGAATCTAGTCAAATAATACTCAAATAAGTAAATACAAGCTTAAGAAATCCCTCCTAATACTAAAAAGGTTCGATCTTTATCATATTTGAAAAAGTCAACAAAAGTCAACCCGAACCCACTTGGTCGAAATAAAAAATGAAGACCAGATTCCGATTACCCAATCATCTCCGAGTCCAAATATGTGATTAGTTTCGAGATCAGACCTCAAATCGAGGTCTAAATTTCTAAAATACACAATCTTAAGTTGCTACCTAAAAATCCTATTTCTACTCCTTAAAATCCTTGACTTAGGGGTGAAAATCTATGGGCAATAATGAAAATTAACCAAAACAAAGTTAAAATCACTTAACCTATGAGGCTGTGAAGAAAATCCTCTCAAAAATCGCCTTCTTGCGAAGTATAAGTCTCAAAAATGGAATAAAATGAGCTAATTTCGGAACTCTTCCGTTTATAACCAGCTGCAGATACCACAATTGCAAACTATTGTTCGCAGTTGCGAAGCTCACAGATACGATCCAGTGGTTGCAAATGTGAGGGCCACTTCAGTCACTAAAGTCGAAAATGTGAGCAATTGCGAAGCTGAGCCCCCCTTCCCAAATGTCACAAATGCAAACCTCGCATTTGTGAGATGTGATGACTGCAGCACCAACAATGGAAAAACTTATAGAAAGAGCCCGAAACCAATCCGAAATTCACCCGAGCTTCTTGGGACCCGATCCAAACATTCAAACAAGTATATAAACCTTACATGAACTCGCTCGTAAGCTCGAAACATTAAACTAACATCAAAATTCAACAATCAAACATCAAAACTCGAGAATTCACATGTTCATAATTCAAATTGTCAACTTTATACTATTAGCGCCAAAACAGCCTTGGGTCACCCGTGACCCAAATCAACATACGTACGTTGTCTAAAATCATCATAGAACCTACCAGAATCATCAAAACGATCCGGAGTCGTTTACCAAGAATGTTGACTGTGGTCAACTCCAACACATACAAGCTTTTGAATCAAGATTTCTTTTATTAAAACACATCTAAACGTTCCGAAAATCTAAACGAACCATACACACATATCATATATCATCCAATGATGCTATTCAAGGCTCAAATCACGAAACAGAAAGGTAGAACTCAAAACGACCTATCAGGTCGTTACAATTGGTGAAGCAAAAAAAAAAGTGATCTAGGCATTAAACATTCGATTCTTGCAACCTTCAATGACTGTAAACGTTTGTTCGGTGAAAAAAACCCGTTAGTGAAGCCAGAGAGATTGCAAAGAGTGATATTCATTGTAAAAATATATGCATTTGAAGCTCTCTTAACTAAGTTGCTCTATCTTGAGATGATGAGCCTATGGGATATGTAGCATTCTCAGCGGACATTGTAATCACTAAGACATGAAGGATGAACATGTGTTCCTGTTAACAACACCTGTTTGACAGGATGAATGTGTTCCTCAAGGTCATTGGTTTTCTTCTCCTGGAACATGAGTATGTGTGTCATAAGACTAGATCCCTTTTTTGTATAATGAAGTTTAGATTATGATTATTAATAAAATTTCTAAAGGATGGTCCAGTTGGAGAGACGAGAAAAAGATGAAGAGTACCAATCATTGGTTGTCAATTGATTAAGCTATTGCCACCAGTTGGTTAAATAAAATGCGATTTATGCAATTAAACATTTGTGAAGCAAGAGAAATTATGAAAAGAAATTGTTTGTAAAAATATGTGCTTCTGAATCTCTTGTAACTTAGTTTCTCTATCTTGAGATGATCAGCCTATGGGATATGTAGCCTGCTTTTTCTCAGGGGACGTTTCTAATCACTAAGACTCACAGGTGAAGGTTTCTCCTCAAGAGTCTGCTAACTCGAATATTGTATTCTTTTTCTTGCAGGTTGTCTGTCAGTACTGGCAAAGGCATGACATTAGAGGGGCACTTAGTGCAATGGAGAAGATGGCAGATACTGCTGTAAGTGTCTCTTTTCTATGCCCTATCCTCAAGCTTGATATTTACCTTTGTAACACGATGTGGTTCCTTTCTGATGCATAATACAGGTGCTTGCTGATGTAATTAGCTTTTTAACAGAGAAAAATGATATTATTACATTAGAGATTTGCACGTGCCTTCTACCACTCCTTGTGGGAATGCTTGAGAGCAGCTTGGATAGGTACAAATTTAAGCTTGAACCTTTCTTTTGTCTGTGCTATAATTTTTTAGTGTGGTTCTCATTTTATTTTATGGACATTCTTTAGGCATCAGGATATTTCACTGAATATGCTGCTCAAATTTGTTAAAGTATTTGGTTCAGTGATTTATTCTTCATTGTCTGCGCCAGCATCAGTTGGTGTTGATATTGAGGCAGAGCAAAGGTACCATCTTATATTTTCTTATACTTCCATTCTTTTGTATTTCTAATTTGAATACTTTTCTTATTGATAATAAAGGATGGATCGCTACAATCTTTGTTTTGTTGAGCTTGAAAAAGTCAAACATTGGCTGCCCACTCTTACAAGGTGCGTCGATGCATCTTTAGCCAGTGGCTTTGGTCCAAATGTTACATAACAAAATTTGCTCTTGCTGCTTTTATTTATTTAATTTTTTTTTAAAATTCTTCGTTTCACTCAGAAGGGGAGGGTCCATTGCCAAGTCCGCACAAGAGCTGAGTCTAGCACTTCAAGATGTTTCGTGAGTTAAGGGCAGTATTGCTTGGATTAGTAAGAGTTATATTTTGGACAATAACCGTGATATTGCTCATATGGAGTGGCTTTTGGAGCTCTAGAGCGGCCTGCACTGTATGTTTTTTTACCTTGCAGAGCTAGCGTCCTGTATGTATATTCCTGCCAAGATGAAAACATTGACGACTCATTCTTTGATTAACTGATTGGTGATAGCTAGGGGACAACTGCTCTGCACTGCTGCTGCTCCAAATGTCGCTGGTGGTTGAACCTGCACGGTGGAGGATCCATCATATTTATTCTCATCTAACCCTGAATACCTGATATTCACATGTTGATTTGTAATTATAGGCTACTTGAGTAAAATCATGTATCCATATGATAATTTCTGTATCAATACAAGGGTGTCTAAGCCAAGTGAAATCTGGAAAATCTTGTCAGTTATACGGCCTTTCTAACCAGTCTCGGGCATGACACAAAGGATGGTGTGAAATCTACGTTACAGCTTGTATTTGAAAAAAAAAATGCAAATTGTCTTTGCTAGTGTTGGTTATAATTTCTCATTTCTCATCTAATTACATTTGCTGTTGGCTGGATTAGATACTAGTGAACGCGCATGCGCGAGCAAGTGTATAGTTTCAGAAGAGTCTCCAAGACCAGAATTTTACTTTTGGACTATTCCTTTAGCAGTCGTTTGGTTGGTGCGATAACGATAATATCTCAGGAGAAAATATGGGATTATTTTATCTTGTGTTTGGTTATGGATATTAATTAGTCTCGGGAATCATTTTGTATTAATATGGTGGGATTAGCTATACCATATATATAACGACCCAATCGAGTGTTTAGAGGCTTTAAGTTATGAAGAGTTGACCAAAATCAACATTATGAGTAAACAAGACAGAATTCATGTTTGAAGGTTCCAATAGATTCATATGATGATTTTGGACTTGTACGTATGTTCGGTTCGGGATTGGGGTGCCTTAAGGTTGGTTCGTCACTTCCAGTCGGAAGTTGGAATTCATGAACTTAAGAGAGTTTCGTAATTTGAATTAATGTTATTTGTGTTTTGAACTTTTGCACGAGTTCCTGGAGGATATACAGACTTGTTAGGATGATCGAACGTGGTCTCGGGTGATTTTGGATTACTTTTAGCCGCCTTGCATCTATAGATTTTTGGCAACAATTTAATGAATTGTGATCGTGGAGATTAGGGTTGCGACCGCGAAGAGTAAAAGGCACTAAAGAAAATGGTGAAATGTGATTGTGAAAAAGGCACTGCGATTGCGAAGAGGAGCTGGACATTGTACATTGCGATCACGTGAAGTGATATACAATTGCGAAGAGGAAAGGGAGCTGGGCCAAGGGAGGTGAAGTGAATCACGATCACGTGGGGATGGTCCACGATCATGTAAAAGATCCGGTTGAGCATCGTGGTAGTGTGAGGGGCAGAAGCAATCACATAGAAGGAAAATCTGCACAAGCTACTTTGTGAATTGCCAAAGCATGGGTGGCAGTCGCGATCGCGAAGAAGGTTTTGCTGTTAGGGGTATTTCATATCTAGATTCCGAGATTGAGCTTATTTTCACCACTTTTAAGTTTTGGATAGGGATCAAAGACGGGTTTAGAGAGAGACTTCACCCAAATCACGAGGGTATATACTTCTAACTTGGTTTTGACTATAATGATTTCCCATGGATTAGCACACATAGGTTAACGATTTAAAGAGTAGAAAAAAGATTTTTGACTTGAAACTTAAGATTGTGTACTTGTAATGATCCGACCGGTTTATATATATACATATACATATATATATATATATATATACACATACATACATATATATACATACATACACACACACACAGAGTATTTGATGTTTGATGATTTGTGGGAATGGTTGGGTTCGTGTCAGAAAGTTTTTATAGTGAATTGAGACAGTCTTATTTTGGATGTTTGAGTTGTAAGAGTTGACCAAAGTTTGATTTTTGTGTAAACGACATCGAATATGTGATTTGATGGTTTCAATAGGTTTGTTTGGTGATTTTCGACTTCGGGCGCATGTCCGAATTTGGATTTGGAGGTTCCTAGGGTATTTGACACTTTCCTAATATTTGGCAATTCGAAGATTTGGAGAGTTCAGAAGTTTGATCGGGAGTTGACTTTGTTGTTATTAGATTCGAATTGTTGTTCCGAAATTTGGAATAGGTTATTTTGTCATTTAAAACTTATGTGCAAAGTTTAAATGTAATCCAGATTAGTTTGGCTTGAATCAGACGCTAGATTTGAAATTTGGAAGTTATTGAACTTAAGAAAAGTTCAACTTTTGTTTTGATCATCGATTCTTGGTTTTGATATTAATTATTGGATTTTTGTGCCTTTGGATTGGTTTGGGGGGAGGTATTAGGACTTGTTAGTATGATTGGACGGGGTCCCTTGAGCTCGGGTGTATTTCGGATGGCTTCCAGACCATTTTGGTGTTTGTTGACAGGTCTGGTGCTGGTGCATCGCACATGTGGAAGTGGGGTCCGAACCATGGCCTAGGTGTAACATGACACTCGATGCCTGCCTGCACGTGGCCGAGCGAACCAACTGGATGACTGGACAAACATGTGGTATAACTGTAAGCTGAATATCGACACACAACATGCTGATCCACCAAAGAGTATGACGAAATATCATAAATGCGGGAAGTACTAAAAAGTCTGCAAGTATAAACAAGTAGCCGACAAGGCTAACACATAAAATCCTGCTAACATCTGACTGACTGGACTATAGTCTACGAAGCCTCTAAAGAATACCAGAATGCTAATTGTTTACCGTGACAAAGTCCCCGACATACCTTACTAGCGGAAATACAATAAAGACTGAAAAAGAGGGATAATGCCCCGAAAGACCGGGGCTCACAAATAGCTGATACAAGATGTCCTAGCAAGCAGAATCGTCAACTTGTAAATCTTTACCTGCATCGCGAGATGCATACCCCGGGCAAAAAGGGACGTTAGTGCATTTGAATAGGATTGGTATGTAAAACAACTAAGAGAAAGAACTATAAATAGTGAAACTAAAACTGAACTGATAACTGATAACTGATAACTGAATTGAACAAGGAAGTAAAGATATAAATACTCCCTATTCTGGATGAGAAACCACTAGTTTATCTGAGTAAACAATATGCAGCCTCAGGCCCAATATATATGTGCACAAACTGCATCCTCGGGCCCAAGTATACGTATACATAACTACGGCATTATGCCCAAAGATGCATAAAGCATAAACTACGACCATATTCCCAAATATAGGTGTTCAACACTCAGAGATTTAAAATCAGGAATTGAGAATCATACTACAATAGATGATACTGAAATACTGAATCATATTGAGTTACATGATACTGGAATGCTATATAGAACTGGTCTAAGACATGTATTCATAATAAACTTGTTGTCATAACTGATATTCATGGGATACTTAACGAATTATGAAACTATGTCATCTTGAGAATATAAGTTCTACAACTATTCATGGAACTGAGGCATAATTACTTTCTGAGGTAATTCGTAATAGTCATAAGAATGAGACATGGGGAGAATCATAAACATTCCCAAACGTAGAGTGTTAGCCTCACATACCTTGACTCTGGCCTTTTTAAGCGTCTCACAATATTCGTCGCCTCTTTCAACGATAATATATGGCAATATATATATCAAAAAGAGCCAATAATAGTACTGATGCTCATGTTTTAGTCACTTAGGCATTTTATCAAACACCTTATAGGCGTAAAGCCTCATAGCCCTTATTAATGGTGTTTTATTTACCCAATTGTTATTCTACTACTTCTAGGCAATTCTAAAATCCCAAATAGATGTAACTAACACCATTTCTCATCACTCAAATGTGTACAACAATCTTAAGCCAATAACCTTAAAACCTAGCATAGTTCATATGTTTGTCTCTATCAAACCTATTTACTATTCTCCCAAGAAAACATCAATTCAGAGCTATAAATGATTAGGGAGTAGAAACATTATCTTTTTGAAGTTCAATCCTCTTAAATTTGAGTTCTAGGGCTTCTTTTCTCAACAATGATGTCTCAATCGAATATCTAATGATTTGAAGGGTTTACCCATGTTAATAAGGTGTTGGAAAATTGAAATTAACTTAGAATCATTATTTGAACTTACCTTGGATGATGAGGGACCTTGGAGGAAGTTGGGTTATTGAGGGCTTCTCTTTCTAGAGCAAATTTACGTGTTTGGGTTGTAGGGAACGAGGTAGGGCCTTTAAAATGACTTATCAGGTGCGCGTTTATGCAGCTGAAGGCCCAACTGCGCACTTGACCGTGCAGAAAGGGTAGTGACATTGCCTCGAGTGCGCTGCCGCGCATGTGACAGTTCTTCGTGCAGCTGATCGCGCATGCTGCTCATTGTCTAGTAAAATGTGCACAACGTTTTGCATAAAGATTCATTTGGGCTCCACAATATATCATTGGAAAGGTATTTCAAAGGGATACAACATTCATGTTTTAAGTTTTCTCAACTCCTAACAGATTGTCATGAAATTTGTCTGAAAGATAAACTTTTCATAAACTTAATCCATTCTATCTAATCTTATGTACCTCACTCTCCGTCTTGATTCCAAAACAACTGTTCCCGCCCATACGCATCCCAATAGGACTTCACATGTCTAAAATGTCACATTAATACTCATTGAACACATCCACCTCTAATATGAATTACGGAGTGTTGCATTATCCATGTTCAAGGTAGTCTTTAGGCTATATTATGTGTTGTTTTGAATATTTGGATCTTCCTACCATGCTTTATATGTTGTATGACCACGTGAATTTGTGAATTATAATAGAGATCATGTGTAGGCTTACTTTTCTTGTTTGAACATGATACTTGTTGTTGTGTGGCATATCCGCCTAATATGAGCCGTAGTGGTCCACTTCGCACACGGATACACTTTAGCATTCTATTTTATCATTCCAAGAGTATCTAATTTGATAACCAGTGATTGAATACATGTACAATTGTATATGCTTTCTATGTTATAGACTGAGTTGACAACATGTGAGTTGTCTATGCGAGGTGAGTTGATTGTGGCACGTGAGTTATTCGTACAACGTGTGGATAATGATCCATCTCGTAATGTCATCTGCTCATGTTTCTCCTTGATGACGTACACACAGTTATGAAACACTGATCAGTTTTAGGTTTTTATGTATCTTCTCTATATGCAAAAACCTTGGATGTATATGTGATTTTAATGTATATCTCCTCTATATGTTAGATTTGAAATTGTATACATGCCTTTTTATGCATATTTTCTCTGTATGCTGCATTACTTTTGATGAAAGGATACTGAACACATATCTTCTCTATGCATCTCTCTGCATGCAACTTGACTTTTCCATTTATGCATATCTTATCTATATGATGAACTATTGTTCCATTTCGATGCTAGTGCATATCTTCTTTATTGTACCGTAGGCCTTATCTATTTTATGCATAGATTCTAGTATTGTTGTTGTGTATATTTGTATTCATTAAT